TTTCCAGTTCTTTGATATGAAAAATGTTTTTATTTTTTTATCTCTTAAAGTGGCCAAAAGCAAAGCATTAAATGACCCACCTTGCAAATTCACCTGTTTGTTTCAGTTGAATAGATGATTAAAGATCCATGAAGAGCCCAAGTGAATTATTCCAGTGTGTTTTGCCACTCAACTCTAATGTGGAAATATATGCCAACCTTCTTGCCTAGCTGCATAGCTTTGTTTTGTGCAGGTTACATCTAGGCACTGAAGAACAGATGAAATGCATTGCTGCTGACCTTGATTTGGTGTGATTTAGTAACAGTAATGTATATACAGAGTTGAAGACTGGTACGTTTTTATGAAAAATCTGCCTCAAAGTCTTCCAAGTTAAATTAAAAGATCTGCACTGTCATCTAACAAGGGATTTAACTCAACTGCAGATTATATTCCTGGTTATAAAAATAAGTGTCATATTGGCTGGTTTATGTTCTTCTGCACTGAGTTGATTTATTAAAATAAATCCTAATAAAACATTTATCTCAGAATAGAATAGCTGTATTTTATCTATTAAACAAATTGTCACTGGCAGGGTACAGGAAATCTCAGAATTAAAATGTTAAATGTAAAATTATTTTCAAGAGTTGAAGTCAGCAGTCTGTGTAAGGTGATTTCTTACTGCTCATTGTTTCACAAACACGTGACAATTGCAGAAACACTTGGTAAATGTTACAACCCTAAAAATGTTGATTCCAGTGCATATCACTGGATGACTGCCAGCTAAAAATGTGAACTGTCCATAATTGTTGTAAGCACTTTCTAAAATGAATGTTTAATAGTCTGTCCCTAAACTTTGAGATACTAGTGCCTTGTTTGCTTCTTCTGTTGTGCTAGTGCTGTAGTGTATGGGATAACTGAATGTGATGCTTTACAGGCTTAACATTCTGGCTTTCCTCCTAGAGATCTTTAAAAGAAAGAAAGCTGTTTCAGGAAACTTTACTTCGGTTAGTTTGAATAGGTTACAGTCAGCCATTGGATTCTGCTGACGGGCTGTGGGGCTTAGGGTTTGATATTTAGCTGTGAATGAACCCCTCTTTAAATGTTATATATGCTACAAGGTGTAAAAGTTACTCATAGGAGTCTTTATGTTGCTATCTGCAATTTGTTTGATTCAGGTATTCTAGCTTCTTTTTTTTTCTGGAAAAGTACATATTCTGGCAATAACATTTTCTAGTTAACACTTCCATTTATTACCAAAGCACTGACCTTCTCTGTATTAGCCAGCTGAAGAAAGTTGTGGGGCTTTTGGCTTGAGGGTTTTCTAGTGCAATCACTTTTGGTTTTAATAATTAAAATCATGAGCTGCCAAGTGAAAAAACTTAAAATAATGACCTCCCCAGTCCTGCCTCTGAGCTTAAACCTGATTGACTAGGCAATTAAATCCAGATCCACAGCTGAGAACACATTTTGGGGAAGGTGCGTTAATGCAGCGCAAGGCTGGATTAGCACCTCTTTGCCTAATGGAGAATGCTGAGCTGGGATCAGTGGCCTGGCTGCAAGCATGCTGTGGAAAAAAAAGTCGGTCTTCAAGCGTTCAGTGGGGGTGGGATCATGGCTACAGAAGCCGTGGTTATAGTTTGTGTCCTGTTATTCCTTTAGAAGTCATGTACACTAGAGTGATTTTTAGAGCGCTCTTTATGTGAAAGGGTGAGTTTGGGTCTTCTCAAATAGAGAGGCTTTATTTCTACTGGTCCTCTTCAGCAGCGAGCCCTTTAATGGGAGTGCATTAATGTAACGACCTTTTATCCTTGGTCCTCACATGTGGCATTGTCCAACATGTACGTAATACCAGCTGAAGGCACAGTTTGTTTCTTCCACAGACTATGCGCAGTAGAACATCATACACATTTATTTAGAATCATAGATTCACAGAATCATTTAGATTGGAAAAGACCCTTTAAGATCATCAAGTCCCACCATAAACCTAACACTGCCAAGTCCACCACTAAACCATGTCCCTAAGCGCCGCATCTACATGTCTTTTAAGTACCTCCAGGGATGGTGACTTAACCGCTTCCCTGGCAGCCTGTTCCAATGCTTGACAACCTTTTCAGTGAAGAAATTTTCCCTACTATCCAATCTAAACCTCCCCTGGCACAACTGGAGGCCGTCTTCTCTCATCCTATCACTTGTTACTTGGGGAAAGAGACCAACATCCACCTCGCTACAGCCTCCTTTCAGGTAGTTGTAGAGAGCAATAAGGTCTCCCCTCAGCCTCCTCTTCTCCAGACTAGACAGCTGCTCCTCATAAGACTGGTTCTCTAGACCCCTCACCAGCTTTGTTGCCTTTCTCTGGACACACTCCAGCTCCTCAATGTCTTGCAGTGAGGGGCCCAAAGCTGAACACAGCATTTGAGCTTCAGCCTCACCATTGCTGAATACAGGGGGACGATCGCTTCCCTAGTCATGCTGGCCACACTATTTCTGATACAGGCCAGGATGCTATTTGAGTTGAGGTGTAGGGTTTTGAGGAGTCGGGCATCTTTTCAGTTTCTGGTTGTCAGGAAGTTAGCTGTGCTTTCAAATACTCTCTCGTGAAGTAATTTTGTGTGTTTGTTTCTGAATGTAGGCTTGAAACAGGGAGAACAGCATTGAAAGCATGAAAATATGTGAAGTAATAGTAAGAGGAGTTAGAAGCAGAGAGTATATGGTAGTGATATTTCTAACAGTACCTCTGAACATGAAAGACCAGAAGTGGATGTCATGCGGACCTGTTGTCAGTGGAGGGATTGATGGGGAAAAGCAAAAACTGGGGAAGCAATACTTACAGCACTTTCCCTCTGTCACTGAAAGCACAAATTCCTTCAGACTGACTTCTTGCATTGATCCCTTTTATTCCTTTGGGTGGAAGAGGGAGACTGCAGATATGTAATCTCCAGTAATACTTGGATTGAAATAGAATCCAGAGCTTTGAAGGTTAAGGATTTAGTGTTGCTTAGCTGGTTCATATCTAATTAAGCAAAATGCAATTAAATTTACTGGAAATTAGAAAGACATTCTCAATATAGCAAAAAAACTCTAAAGGATTCCTCCACAGTTGTGGGGGATTTAACTATAAAATTGTTTCCCATTTTTTAAGTATTCTGTCTAGCCTTTGTTTTTAATTGAGCTTTAAGCAGTTGTGCTTAAGCTGTAATCAAAATTACGTTTTCTTACAGTTTTTGCAAGACCTTTGCTGTGTTTCAGTGTGTATAGTATGTTTGATTATTAGTCATAAAATTTGGAGTGAAGTTCTTTGACTAACATAATGATACTTTTTTCCCCCATGTTAGTATGGAAGAACACCTTTACATCTGGCAGCAAACAATGGCATTCTTGATGTTGTCCGGTTCCTGTGTCTTACTGGTGCCAATGTAGAAGCTTTAACCTCTGTAAGTATTGAGAGATACTATTAACGCTTCTTGCTTCTTTCACGTATGATAGTAGGAAACGAATTCATCTCTTAGAGAGGAGTGGAAAAAAGGACAATGGTCTAATATAATGACATACTGAAATTTTTTCCAAAAAAAAGTTAGGCTGTTGTATGTCCACCACTTGAAAAGCATTCTCTGTTGTCCACTTGTTCACTTCTTACAACCAAACTTGAAACTGATTAAGGTACAGTACAGCTACCTCTTCATCTACACCTAAGAATTTCTTCATGTAAGAATTACTTGTAGCATTGTGTTTTCTGTAAGCACAGTGGGCCACTGTCATTACAAGGTATGTCATTTCACATCACATACCATTACCGTACAAATGTATTATATATATCTTAAATAATTTTCTTGCTTTCAGGGAATTAAAAGGTTTTATTTTCATGGTGCAAGATGTGTGGGTGCATGGATGAGTGAACTAGCATGCAAGTATCCTTGTAAAATGAATCATTTATCTCATTTATCTCATTTATGCTTTTCCACCTGTTACCTCAGTCAATAAATTAAGCTTCCAGATCTGAGTCTAAATTTTCAACAGAGATGTGAACTGAACCGCTAGCATCTGTCAATGTAAACATTTCAAAATGCTTTTTGGGGATAAATTTGACCTAGAGTTCTTCCTGCTGTACTTGGTGCTTGTTGCCAATGCTGTGGGGTGTCCTTCACCTGCTCCACAGGCCTTTCTGGTTACTGCGTGGTCTGATGACCATGAACTTAAAAAATTATGCTCGTCAGGCAGTGCCCTTGCTAAGGCATTGCTCCATAAGGGAAGGTGAGCTAGGAGCCAAGAGTAAACAGCAAGGCAAGCAGGGACAGTGTCCTCACCAACACGGGCCCAGTCCCACAGTACCCAAGCAAAGCAAGCAGAGCAGGTCCAGTGATGGCAACCAGCTTCAGCCAAAGGTCTGGGTCACCAGACAAGTCCCTAACAATGAAGTAGGTCTGAGTTAAGTCAAGGTCAGGAATTGGGCTCAGTGACCATGGTCAGCGAAGGGTCTAGTGATCACCAGGCGAGTCCATAGTGAAGAGGTAGGTTCAAGGTCAAACCCAGAAGTTAGGGACCAGGTCAGTGGGATACATGGCCACATGCAGGCATATAGCTGTAGTGCTGCTCAGGTGAGGACCAAGGGCAAAAGCCTCAGCTTAAGAGTAGCGGCTAAGCAAAAGGTAGTGCGAAATCCCCTGATGGGCCTTCTTTTCAGGTCTTCTTCCTTCACAGTCTGAACCAAGATTAGACAGCTGTATCAGACAGCTGGTATTGAGCTCAGGAACCTGTTAGGAAGTGGGGATGGAGCTCTGGGTTACAACAGTGCCATCCCATTGTTGTAAGTAGGCTTGCTCTTTGCACACATCTGCTTAGACTTCTAGCAATTTGAACCATTCCTGTTGCCATTTTTCCAGTTTTGGGAGCCGGCACCTCTATCCCATTATAACCATGCCCACTGATCAGGCTCTGGCTGAGCCACTGCCATTCAGACTCTTTGGCAAATACTCACCAGATGGTTATTTCCTTTGTGTTTGTGCCTGAATAGCTGTGACTGAGCTAAACAAATGATATATCAGAGTACAGCTGTTTAGCCAAAGCCAGGCTTGAAGCCAGAACAAACCCCCACAGAGCAATGAAACACAAGCAAGCAAGGGTGTCAAGTTACCCAAGCCATGCCAGGGCAATTGTGGTGTCCCCGTTGAGAGGTGTGGGACCTCCTCTGATTCAAAGGGACAGTGCCCATGCAGGGATCTGTCGCTGCATACGTGCTTGGTGCTGGAGTTGGCCAGGCCATCTCCCAAGCTTGTGTTGCAACAGGAGCGTACTGCGCTCTGGAAGAGCACAGGGCCAGGCTGTAGCAGTCCTGCTTTGGACTTAAGAGGAGGCCCAAGATTTGAGGATCTGGGTAAAATTCACACTTAAGGTTGGTGAAGCCTGCATCCTATTACCACAGGGCTTCTCAGGAAGGGAATTGAGGTTTCCCCTTTCTTTGAAGGTTTTGGATTCCCCTGGATGTGCCTAAGACCGGAAACTTGGGAAGCACTAGAAGTATTGAAGCAGTTCTGATGGCAGGCTAGCTGCCCAGCTGCTAGTCTGCTCTTCCTCTCATGCAGCAAGCGCTCGAGATTAGCTGGGATTTGGAGGGTAGGGTCAGCACAGACAGAGAGATTCTTCCTGTTTGATATATCTTCTCTAAGGAAAATTAATTTTAAAAAATACATTCAGGTGTTTCTTTACTAAAGTTGCAATTATATGTCAACTATGGAAGGAATTTAAGGGTAAAGTATTGGTTCAAATTTAGTCAGTTCACACCATCAATTACAATTTTGGCTGTTTCTTGGTAATGTTCTGTTCCTGTTCTGTCTGAATTATCTGACATTCTGGAGTACATAATAACTTTTATGGAAACCTGAAAATGGCTTCTGTACATGGACACTCAATTGTCAAAGATATTTATTTCATATGTAGGGATAGTAATTACAGTAACCTCAGGACTACTTAAGACAATGCAGGTTTCACATGAAAAACTAGTAAAATCAAAGATAGAAACCCAAGAAAAAGATCTTAGGTTTCCAGTACTACCTCTTAATAATTGAAAGCTCTTATCTGAGAGAGTGAAAGAAGCAAAGTGCTGGTAAATTAGTTGCCTGTTACCAAAATTTAAAACAATACAATAGCATCAATGTAGTTCTAAGAGTGAAAGCAGTGAGCAATTTTCTTTCAGCCTATTTAATATTAAACACCTGACCTGTGAAGTGTGGGTGATTAATTGGCAAGACCAGAATGCTGAAGGCAGCTTTGCTTCTCCTTTTAAATTTGCTGATGCAATTTAAACCACATCCCTTACACTGTTCTTGCTTTGTGGAAGCCTCCAGTGACTGATATGCCACTGTCATTCCTTATCCATTAGTAAAGAAAATTCACCTGCTATTCATGTGAGTGAATATGCTGATGTGTCCCCTCTTGGTGAACTGCTTAAACTTTTAGATGTGTTCAGTATGTAATATCTAGAAATCACTATCATCCTCCAGTTGGTGAGAAGAGAAGAGGAATTCAGATGGGCAGTATTGGTATTGCTCTCAGGCTCTGAATTCAAAGTATCTTGTTACAGTGGCATCCAGGTGCCAACTTGTAAAAGAAAGGCCATTGTTCTGCATTGTACCTTTTTTTTTTTTGACAATTTAAAAAAACAGGGATTCTGGTGGGGGTAATCATTACTGGTTGTTGGTTGTTGGTTTTTTTTACTTCTCTGTATTTCATTTGCATCTGACAGCAATTCTGTTAACTGCCTTGAGCTGCTGAGCTGTGTGGTGATTTTTTGTATTGTGGGCAAAAGGAAGGAACTGCTGCTAACAATCTGTGTTTTAACAGGATGGGAAAACAGCAGAAGATCTTGCCAGAGCAGAGCAGCATGAACATGTAGCCAGTCTGCTTGCAAGACTTAAAAAGGTTGGGAATGCATTAATTTTAACTGAGGTTTTCATGTTTTTAAGATACCAGGAAAAGTTTGACCATGGGAAATTATGTGATAAGATACTCATCAAAGCCATTCTAAAAGCTGCTGCAAAAATCCTTACTGGAATGCTGCCTTTTGACAGCCCTCAGTTAAAGCTATTATGTACATGTTAACAAAAATGGCTAAGCTAGTCTGCACCACTGATCTTACGCTGTCTCTGACAGTGCCTAGCAAAGCATCTAAGGTGTTTAGAAGAAACTGGAAAATAAACTATTAAGAATTTGCACATCCCACAGGAGGACTTAATTCCCCACCATCACCATTTTAGTTAGATTAGGGTTATGAAGTATGAGGGGTCTGTGCCCCTTCTGGAAACTCTAATACCATATGGAATAGTTGCATAAGTTCTCAATGTTTACTTTTAATTCTGCAATTTCAGTATCTCCAAGTCGCAACTAGAATGGAAAGTTGATCTGGGCTTGTAAGGCAGTAAGTCTGACACATCTGATACGCATTGATTATTGTGAATAGCCAGCATCATTCATGCTGTGAAGGTTCAGGGACCACTTGCCTGGAGATCGCAGGCAAGAACCAGACCAATTAAAACAATCCTGGTTTAATTATGCTGATGGGTCTGTGGAACACTGAAATAAATGACCATTTCAGAGTAGCAGTAGAAGATGGTGTGTACCAGGCATTGCGAAGGTGGAAGTAGAATCATGTCCTGTAGGCCTGCCAGTAAGTCTGTACTTACTAGGATTGTAAAATATATCAGTGAAGATGTCAGAAAGTGCCAAAGTTCAGGCTTCCTTTGCAATGATAGCTTTTGTAAATGTTTGTTTTAACAGGATCGATTTTGCATAGTTGTATCCCTGCACCAAACCCTTGTCTGTGTCTGCATGCAGGTGGATAGATTTGTGTTTAGTCATGATGTAAATAGGGAACTAATAAAAGTTGACTTGGAACAAAAGGGAGAAAGTCAGATAAATCTCTTCTGAAGGAGATGTTAGTAGCTGTAACTCTCTTCTTGTTAGCAGAGTATTCTTAATTAGTAAAGGCCTGCCCATATATAGCGAAAATGTGTCATAATTACATACTTCATCAGAGTATACTTTGCAAGAGAGTCTGATCAGTTGAAATTGATAAATTACATCAAACCACTGAAAATATTCTAGTACTACTCAAAATGGTCAGTATCATCTAGTACAGAGCATACCTGATGCTTGTTTTATTTTCAGTGCCTGTGGAGGGTTTTGTCCCTAATAGCACGTACATGAAGAACCTACTGTCATAGTGGCTCTTGCAGAGATTCAGTATTAGCCATGAGGGGGTGCAGTATTTGCATTGTGACTAACTTATTTAATAAGCGCCTGTTAGCAAGGAAGGAACTAAATTATATGAGCTACTATTTCTGTCAAATTTCTCAGCTTGATTGCTGCATGTGTAGAATTTTGGGGGGCTGTAGGTGCTCGTTTAATGACTCATCCTACATGTTAAATTCAGTACAAATGCAGAACAACAGAGCCTCTCAGCTCCAAATGGGGGGAATGAAGGAAAAGAATATGAAGCTAGTTCCTTTGGCCTTCCACCTTTCTGCTATCTCTCTGTTTCCTTAAAACAGGTCTTTCTGTGGTGAGAGACACCTGATAGTTCGCTGTCCTGCACTGCATCCCTCTGTTGAGTTGATTTTTCAAGCTCAGCTTTTGTGGGGAATAGAGCATGCCATGTCTCATTGCCTCTTGCTGGGCAAAGAGAAAAGAGAGATTCGATTTGTTCATTCCCAGCTCTGTCTTTGGCAGGAACAGAAGGAGTTTTCTTCAGATACTACAAGACAGGATACAGAGGGGTAATGGGAGAGCTCAAAGTGGAAAGCTCTTCTGTAGGAGATGTGATTGGGTTTGAGGAAGGCCTGTGTAGGAAGACGAGGTTGCAGCTGTGCAAGAGACGGTGAATGCACACAGAGGGCAAACTGAGAGGAGAATTAAGCAGGGAGGCAGATCTACTGAGGCTTGGGAGTAAAGAGGGAAACCAGTCTGGAGGTTGTACACTTGCAGTAGAGGAGTAGAAAAATGGAAGGTGAATAGTATGTGAGAAGTCTTTTAAGGTAAAGAATAAGTGTGTGGGGAAAGAAGAGGTAAGAGTTGTCTGGGAAAAGCAATATTTACCTCGCAAAGAACTGAAGTGGAAATAAACAGAACTGAGCGGGCGGAGGGAGAGGGAAGATGACAATTCTCCTGAATATGAGAAGTACAGAAAAAGTTGATGTAAAGAAGAGGGGAGATGCACACCGAGTTATCAGATCACTCAGGTGGTAGCTGTCACTGCAAAATTCTTCAATGCTGCATGTGTATTATATAAGATTATGAATATTGATTATGCTACTGAGACTGACAAGTAAGGAGAATGGGTACTGAAAGAGGCTAGTTTTTTCCTCCTTTGCCCTCTCCATCAGAGGTCAAAATGATCCCATTCACTGGTACTAAGCCTGAAGTCATGTGTGATTTTCATGAAGACTCAAGGTGGCTCTGGAATCAGCTGTGCCTTGTCTACCTGTCCCTGCCTTCCTGCCAGTAACTGATCATTTGCATGATGAAGTAGATGGAGGAACTGATCCAGATGAACACCAGTCTGGCAAGAAAGCGTTATCTAAACCCAGTGGTCTGAGTTCGTTGGGAGACAGAAGTTCCCTGCCACATGTTCTGATTTCTTCTTTATGTTGAATTTTAGGATACGCACCGGGGGCTTTTTATCCAGCAGCTGCGGCACGTGCAGAATCCACAGCCCCGCATCAAACTGAAGCTGTTTGGACACTCTGGTGCTGGGAAAACAACCCTTGTGGAGTCTCTCAAGTGCGGCCTGATACGAAGCTTTTTCCGAAGACGCAGGCCTAGGCTCTCCTCCACAAACTCAACCAGATTCCCCCCATCTCCTTTGTCTTCCAAACCTTCAGGTATGGCTTTAAAGCTGTAACATTTGAATGAGAAAACATTTTCCTCTTACTCTGTGTAGCTCCCAAGGAAGAGCTGTTGGCTGCACTGCAAAAGGCAGGACAGGCTAAGCATGTAAGAGACTAAAGCAAAGCAGAGAGGGTATTGACTTCTCTGTGCACAGGCTCGTACCTGGTGTAAGAGTGAAGAGGAGCAGTGGGTGTGGAGGGTGCAAGGACTAGTTAAGGTTTTGTTTACTCACATGCTGCACAAGTGAACTTGGAGAATGCAGGACAGGACTTGTGAACACCAGCGTTTATTTTTTACAAAAAGTCCTAGGCTATGAATGCCAGTGTCGTGACTAGATTCCACTATTGTGGTTTTGGGGGATTATGCTTTGTCAGCCTTTTTAGTTGAGTAGCTTCAATAAGCTCTGTGCAAAATTGAAACAGTTGCTGCATCTTTATGTGATCTATAAGTAATAACAGAGGATTCAGAACTGCCTCTGATGACTTGGAGTGCTTTTCCTTAAGGTACAGGAGTGGATTAGCCCAGCTAGAGGTGTCTAAAATTGTCTCCAAACAAGGTGAAAATAGAGGTTTTCTGAGCTGAAGTAAATGTGTGCAAATAATAGGGAAACTTTGCCCATGTAGCACCAGTTGGCCTGTGTGAAGTGAGAAGAGCTGCAGGATGTGGAGGAACTAGCTAGTTTTACACTTCAGCATGTGCCCGGCTTTGGAAGAACACACAGTTGTGGCAGGACAGTGGAAAGAATAGTGAACTATTCATCCAGGCCCCTTTTCTAACACTGAGAGGCTGCTCAATATATACAAGCTAAGCAGGCACTTTGAGGATCTCAAGTTTAAATTGCTGTTTAGAAGTAGTCTTACTACATAAGTTTTAGATGGGGTAAGGGTTGCCTTTTTCTTTAAAAGCCTTTGGATAATACTTGCAAGTTTAGTTTCATTTATCATTTCAAGTAATGTTAGAACAGTGCTAGTAGTAGATTTCATCTCTAATTTCTCTCTAGTCACCTGAGGAAGCTACAAGGTACTCACAGCGTGGCTTAATAAGACAAGTTATTTGGCACAGAGATTCTTATTGCATTTACTGTTTACTTAACACAAGGGGCTCACATCTGTGACAACAGAATTAAAAAAAAATTGATTAAATAAATCAATCAGAAGTTCTTGATTTATTTATCTTAATTTACTGTCATGCAAGGGGAGATAAATCACTCAAGGAATATCAGTTCCTGGAGGCAGTGCAGGAAGTTTTTGACTGAAGACGGATTTTTTTGTGTTGGTTGGTACCAAAACCAGAGGATAGGTGTCATGTGCTCACACCATCGTAAAATCAAACAAGACTGCCAGTCACATTGGCAAATCATTCTAGAAATAATGGTGAATTTGAAGCATGCACTTGAAAATAGCTTACCTAGATATAAAGCCAGAAAGCTGTGCAGTGGTATGCATACTTGAAACTTGTGCAGTTCTATGCAAACAAAGCTACTATTGCATTGTTTTGATGTTTGGAGTTTTGGGTTTTGCTTGTTTAAGTATCTGTACTTTTTGGATGAAAATAATTATATAACATGTAAATAATGTTACGGGTTGAGTGACATCATCAGATAAACATCCAAGCCAGCAGGATTTGGTCTGTACTTGGATCATGTGCTTAAGTTTGTTTAAATTCTGTAAAAATAAGTGTGTGAATTCACCGTGTATTTATTTACAAGAGCCTAAAAATTTAAATATTACACTAGAAGATCAAACATGAAAGTATAGTGTTACAGCTGACAGGTAGTTTCTTTCTATGTTAAAACCCAAGTATTTGAATTCAGCATCTAGTGGAAGAAATAAATCTTTAGTTTCTCCACTAGATGGTGCAAGTAAATTAAGAAGCCCTTTCGTTTATCATTTACTCTTAGGGAATCTGAATTAAGTATGAACTAAACAAATTGCTTATTAGTAAAATAATTTTGGTTAAGGGCCTGCTTTCCTCCGTCATCCCCGCAGAAACAGTTGTTACACAGTGGTATTTTTATCCTTAGTTACAGGAATCAACTGTATAAATATGTAGCATTTCCATGCTAATAAAAATAGACCATGCTATGAAATTGCAGGCCTTAGCTAAAAAAGCCATATATCTTTGCAACATAGAAGAACTTTAACTATTGATACCTTTCATTCCCAAATCAATCAATTTTTTTCTATGCTTCCCACCCAGAGGTGTATCTGCTAAAGGGCCATACGTGCTATATGGGATCATTGTAATACTTTCCTTTTCATCATTCAGAATAAGGATGTAGTTGTGTATGCTCACAGCTTAGTACTCATCTCCTTTCTTTGAAGAGCAGTTTGGGGTTTTTAATCAGCTTTTATGCCTTGCATACCTATTTTGAAGTGATCTGGTTGAGATTTTCACATGGTTTGTAATCTCATTTTCCTTTCCCTGACCCAGTTTCAGTAAGCATTACGAATCTTTATCCTGGTTGTGAGAATGTCAGTGTGAGAAGCCGTAGTATGATGTTTGAGCCGGGCCTGACCAAAGGGGTGTTAGAAGCTTTCGTTTCACCTGCTCATCACTCTCACTTCTCTGCTGATGACCAGTCCACCAAGGCCATTGACATTCAAAATGCCTATTTGCATGGTAAGCAGAGCCCTGGGCTGGCATGCCTTAATGCTGTGGGACAGTTAATGCTATATTGCTTGTTTTTTAAAATAAAAATGAAAAAAATAAATCTGATTTGGTATGGTAGTGACTGTGGTTGAGAATCCAACACTGGTGGGGTTGAGTTTTTTAAGCAGAAGGTAAATCTGCATGAAGTTCTGTACCTGTAATACACATAGTAATCACTAGGGATTTGGTTTAATAGGAATGGGTTGGCAAACCGGAAGGCTCCTTCACCTGTACTGTATGTCCTTTGGAGATTTTATCAGATTCAGTCTGGTCCCATAGACCCAAGTGTCCTTACCACATAAGTGGTTCCCAGCTGTATGAAGGACCTACCTTTCTCACCCATGACAGGGCTGGAGCATGTTTGGTGAGCCCTGGAGCTCACCAAACACAGTGAGTAGAGCTTCTGATTTCATTTTTTTTGAAAGGAAGCTAACTGCTCTGCAATTGAAATTGATTAGCAGTAAGAGTAGTCAGTCAGAGAAGTTGTCATAAGTATATATATGGCTTTTCACTGTGAAGACCATACAAATGGTGCATATACACCACCAGCCATACTAATCATTATGGAAGTGGTATAATCTCTCCCAGTGGTATCTCTTCTTCATAAGGAAAATGTTTTGCATGCCTTAGCAGCTGAAATTTTGAGGCTGAGTTAGGATTAATAAAGATTTTACTGTGGAGAGAGAAACTTATTTATGAATTGAGTATACGCAGACTAACACATGCAGTGACAAAACGTTTGTTCTACAAGCTGAAGAGTTTGCCATGTAGCTAAAGCTTATTCTTTGTCCAGTCTTAACTTCCTCTTTCAGTGTCATTTGAAACCAAGTCAGAGTCTGCAGTGAAACAGAATTATGCAACAGACTGTCAAAAGGGGTTTCTTTTCTTTCTCTGTGCTGCCTTAATATAGGATGGAAGTGTGCACATGGGTGAACTCTGAATAACTGTACTCATAACAGTAGACTTGAGGTTTCTGGCTTCTTTTTTTCCAGAAGTTTAAGGTGCATCTTAATGAGCATTTATTTAAATAGAGGTAGTACAACTGCTGCAGACTTCACCCTAATCAGATGGTATGTCTGGGAAGTGTCATACAGTGCAACGCACTAATACTTTTTTCACTTGAAGCTAAAAGAGATGGCAAAAAGAAGCACAGTGCTGTTGGGATCCTTAACATGGTGATTCTTCAGTCCCAATTTATCAACGCGATGTGAATAGTCCAATTCTGTAAAGCAAAGTGGCTTCTTTGAGAATGTCCTTTGGCTCTTTTTAATACCAGCAGTGGCATGTTAAGAAGAAAAATTAATTAAAATGTTGAGCTTTTTGGGGTGAGCAGGAAAAGAATAGGAGCCTTTATTCTAGTTTTTCAAGGGCATTACAAGATCGTTGCAGTTGTGCAAGGCAAAGGCCAATTTAATATGTAAGGCTGCATGCGTTCTAACACACAGGTGCTTCCATGTGGCATCCAGCTGAATGTCCTAGAGAAGTGAATGTGAGAGAGGAACAGATTGTGAGGACCCAACTTCTCAGCTTCTGAGTGACTGAAACCCATTCCCTTTGTTCATCATTGCATTTGCAGCCTTGCTTTTTCACATGCATACGGTTTTTCTTTGTGAAAGTTTAAATCAGATTAACTCTTTTGTTTGTGTTTCCCTGGCTGAAAGATGCTTTGTGCTTACTGACAAAGTGTGATCTCTTCCTCTGTCTGTTTTTCAGGAGTCGGTGATTTCAGCATCTGGGAATTCTCTGGGAATCCTGTGTATTTCTGCTGTTACGATTATTTTGCTGCAAATGATCCCACTGCAATTCACATAGTGCTTTTTAGTCTCGAAGAGCCTTATGAAATCCAGTTAAACCAAGTGACCTTTTGGCTCAGTTTCCTGAAATCATTGGTCCCAGTTGAGGAGCCAATAGGTATGCCTGTTAATGAAATATTAGGGGACTGTAGGATAAAGCTTCTTGTGTTTCCCTGCAACTATGTACGTCCTCTATGTTGAGTGCTGTTATGTGTCTTCATCCCCATGTATTCAAACAAACTTTACACACAGTTTCTTAGAGAAAGGGAATTTTATTTGTTGGACAAGCCTGAAGAGTTGTACACACCACATAGTCCAACTAAAAAGGGTCATGAGGTACAGTGCAGCCTCTTGTGGCACTGGGTTTTACATCTGTAAATGGCAGATGAAGGTTTATGTCAGATAAGCTGAGTGGAAAAGTGTTTCAGAGGGTTGGAACCATTTAAAACCAATTTTAGATGCATTGATTAAATTCTACTTATATCTAGCCTCAATTAACAGTGTTTCCAGCATAAATTAGTCTTGTCAGTGAGAACAGGACAGAATGACACTGTGGAGTGGCGTTACCTCTCAGTACATGCAACTTTAACATGTTTAACTACGGTTGTATTTGGACTTCAAATTTCTTAAACTTTTGGTGCATCAGAGCATACAGAAATAGGTGCTTGTTGTAAATTTCACTTCACATGTTCTCAGACTTTGCACAGGTCTTAAGTTAAGTTTACTTGCTTTATATTCAGGCTTTCTAACAAACTGGAGGTTACTTGGGTGGTAAACAAATTACCTTAAATAACTTTTATTTTTTTTCTCTTAAAAGGTCTGCAGGTCTAGAGAGATATATATATACACCATATAACTTGTTTGTGTTGGTAGCTGAGCCTTGGTCTGCAGACTGTGACAGTTTCATGGATGAACCAAGCTCTGACATGTGTCTTGGTTCTATGAACCAAAATGTTATTCCAGCCAGTGGATCTAACTCAGCACTCATGGACATTTGTAACACTGCTAGCAACTCACCAGACAAGCATATCAAATACTTACATAGTGCAAAGAGTGTTTCCCCTTTCCTTGTGTTCTGCTAGATTCTGTATGCATTTTCTCAGTCAGATAATAATGATGAGCCAAGGCAGACCTTCAGTCTGCAGTTCAGCCATCTGCATATCTTTCATTTTCCATTTTAGATCAAATCACAAGGTTAACAGTATGAGCATTTGGATCTAATGATATGAAATTACTTCTGGAAGTAAAAAGTCAGAAATTAGCAGAAAAGTATCAATGCTGAAAATACAGTTAATTTGTAATTGCTGAAAGCTTTTCACAGCTCCTCAGTCTAGCAAGGAAATTTAGTTCTACCAAGTTAGCATTTCAGTTAATCGTTTCTTCTTGCTGATCTAATTATCAGCATTATTTAGATACTTTGCTTAAATCAGTGTTTATACTGGTCTGCTCAATTTGGGTACCCATGCATTTGTACTATTACAAATCTTTCAAGTAATATGTAGGAACTGATGTTAGCAGAAAACTTAAACTTCTGGAATTACTTTCTAGTTACTTTGTCCAAGTCCTTCAGCTGTCAAAAAAAAAGTACAATTACAAAGTACTTATCTCAAAGTGCTACACAGAGATTTGTGAAAATGTGGCTTTTTTATGAACTAATCAAGATTCTGTAGCTCTTAGTTGATGAAAACTGAGCAGTGATGTAAGCATATTTCTCCCATGTGAAGTTTTTTTGAGACTAAAACAGCAGGATTGGATGTACTGTCTTTTTAAAAAATAGTCTAATGATGTCTCCTCTTTTCTGGAAGATCAGTTTGAGAAAAGATTGAAAACTGTGTTCTGTACTGTCATCTCATTCATGCCATTTGTATCTTTCTTTCTTTCTTTCTCATTGTTTTCCATGGTTTCTGCCAGGCTTTCCTACTTAACTCTCACCTAAGTGAGAGGTCATTGTTTGTGTAAGTACTGCAAAATAGCATTCGTACCAATGTATGAATGTTGTAGACTTTTTGTGTTCTACTTATAATCCTCTACTCTGCACCTGTAGTAGTAAGGACCATCCAAAGATTGTGAGAAACCTTTTCAAGAAGCTGTTATTTTAAATTATTTTTCCCTACACTATCATAGTTTGTAGTTAATAGATATATCATTAGTGTTATTGAGTAATGCTTTTGTTAAAACAATAGTGTCATGTAATACCAACATATCTGATGTTATTCCAAGAGTCTAGCTATTCAAATTGGACATTATATAGATAATCCTATAGGCAGATAACAGCCAAAGCACCAGTGGTGTAAGCACCGTATGGCTATGCTTTGAGTTGGGAAATCCACTGCAAAAGTGATTGGTAGGAAGAATGTAAAATGTATTGCTACTTTCCCAGCTCAGTAAGACAGCCATCTCCGCAGGTATGTCTCATAGTGAGGGAGTGCTTTTGTTTCTCTTCTAGCGTTTGGTGGAAAGCTGAAAAGTCCCCTGCATGTTGTTTTGGTTGCCACACATGCTGACATAGTGAATCTTCCTCGGCCTGTTGGAGGAGAGTTTTGGTATGACAAAGACATGTCATTGTTGAAAGAAATCAGAAACAGGTAAGTGGGGAGTGTTATTATATGTAGTGTTTAAACATGTCAATTGGAAAGAAAAAATACTAAAATGCATAGGAATATATAAAAGGTTTTTACGTGGCTTAAGCTTCATGGTGGTATGATATTTTGAGTATGTTCAGGAAGCTTATATTGTGCAAAAATTGAAACATTTACCAATATTACAGTGAGCAAACTGCCTTCAGTGAGCTAAAAGGAGCCCAGTGGTGCAAAAATAAGTTGAGTCTTAGGAAATCTCACCCTGTAAACACTGAGATGCATCCAAAGGCCCAAATCAGCCATCAGTCTAACATCTTGGTGCTCAGGGTTTGCACCAGTCTCAGGAAAGTGTGCAGTTCTCAGCTACAAACTCTGGGTGCAAAAAAGGAAGCTTTATAGGAGAGCCAGCCTTTGCTCTGAATTGATTTAGGATGGGTAGGAAAAAAACTTAAACCAGGCCTGGAGGTACGCCCTATACAGTTTGTGAAGAACTGGACATTGTGGAGTCACAGCAGATCTTCAGCAGGTGTTTGGAGAGCATGCTAATTGTAGATGGAAATAGGGAATTTTTCACAAACATGCTATTGTGTAAAGTAAAAATAATTTATATCCAAAGTGAGCACATAAGTGGGTACATACCTGTGAGCGCAGACACTTGTCTGGACTGTACAAAAAACAGATGTAGGAATTCCAGCACAATAGTGGTAGGGCAGTATCTTAATTGAAATAAACCAACAGAAAATACCTGTGTGTAATATTTGGTGTTGGAATCCTTTTAAATGCAAATCAGTCCAGAGCTAGGAAAACAAGTATGTGAGGTTGAAAAGTCAAAAGGAAGTGAGAAAGAGAGCTGGTGTCAATAGCAATGACAACTGAACTATTTAAAGAAGAAAGAAAACAAATACAAAGACCTTAAAAAGAATTAATTCCTACTATCCTTTCTCTAGTAAAATGTCTGGTTTTGTAATTACAAGTCCTGTGATGCAATTTTAATTTTCTTACGCATCGTCAGCCTTCTTCCTTAGGAAATACAACAATTTTCTCTCAATATCTCTGATGTTTTTCAAGAAAAGTAGAGAGCAGCTATACTGTCTGTGCTTATAAAATATCTTGGCATAATCAGTACTTAAACTTTTTCATCATTCCTCGAAGAAAAATAACTCTTGTGTAATTTAAGACTGAAGTACTATTGGATTAAGAAAATAAAACTGGATTTGGGACTCAGTAAATAATTGCTCTCTTTTTCTTTTTTAGATTTGGAAATGATCTGCAAATTTCAGACAAGTTGTTTGTCTTGGATGCTGGAGCATCTGGGTCTAAAGACATGAAGCTTCTCCGAAATCACTTGCAAGAAATAAGAAGCCAGATAATTTCTGTAAGTAATGTCTAATGGTCTGGGTTGGGCCAGCCAAAATGTGAAAATCTTGTGTAATAATTTACTGTAAATCTAGTACTTACGTTATGAAACTTAAAGAAATGAGTGCTGTTCCAATTTTTTAGCAGCATGCAAGACAGACCTGATGATAAACAAACTCCTGACATCAAAGATTCAGTCAGCATTTTCAAAATTGTAGGTGTTTTATACAGGTCACCAGAATGATCTCTCTTGAAAGCAAATGATCTGAGATTTTCAGTTCAAAGTTACAGATTCGTATTTTGAATTGACAGTGATTGGATTCCAGCATTGGCCCTTCATTTTGGGTTGGTTTTTTTAATCTTTTTTTTTTAATCAGCATAGTATTACAGGGAAACAGAATGTATTTCAGGCAAATAAGTTTTTCGTAGGAAAAAAAAAAAACAACCCCAGAGTAGAACAGTTTCATCAACTGTTAGAAAGATAATTCCCAATATAGATGTGTGAATTGCATATGCATTAACTTTTTACCGCACTTTTTTACTGAAAATATGTGCTTAGAGTTGTATATGTATGTGTAGGTGTTATGTATATGAGACTAAAGGTAAAATAGCCATGGTTTGATGTTATCACCATGAATCTACAGACACTTCCATACTGAGGGTGACCAAGTCAAGTTGTTATGTAGCCTGTGCTAAATAGATTTAAATTTCTTCATACCAAAGGCCCTCTTACTTATGTGACACACCAAGACTTTCTGCAGCTACTTCTGATAGGTATTTTAAAAAAAAATAAATTAAGTGTGAATGTATTACTGATGTCATTCTGTAGGTCGAGGAAAATGTTTGGGTTTATGCAAGATTCAGCCTATTTTACATTCCCAATGGTCTCTTGATTTAATGAGCCTTTCTTCGACAAAACTTTATCATAGCTGTGGACACTAATGTGAAAACTGGGGGCTTTGCTGCATAAGAAGTGTGTGCTGTGGCTTGAGAGTGTGGGATGAAGTCATCAGTGATGTCCAAGACAATCAATAGATAAAAGTACCATCTTTACTTCTTATCTGGTACCCTGCTGCCCCACCTGTTGAAGTAAATTGCTCCTGTACAGATATTGATGAGATTAAATGTTTAATCATTAAATGATTTTAATTAAATGTAGACAGTTTCTGAAATAATTATTAACTTCTAGACACATGTAGACAATTGATACATTCTGAAGTTACTGTTTCAGGTGGTCAGCACATTTGACCAGGCAAGACTATATAAACCAAACTTTATTCTGTGTCAGGATTCCCTTTGTAATCATGGTGGCATTTGGAAAGTTTGCTTATTTCAGTGAAAAGGTTGTTTCTGGAATTCACTTTGTTAAGATAAGGTAGATCTTAACAGCAACTGAAAGCCAGATGGAAGAATCCATCACAAGGGGAACTCTTTAGACATGAATATATGTCAAGAATGCATTAGACCTCGTAACCTCTATTTAAAAAAAAACAAAAAAAAAACCAAAAAAGCCCCAACAACAATAGTACTGTTGTTCTCAGCAGAGCAGAATTACAAATGGATGTTTTCTGTGTTTTTCTAAGACTTGCCCACCTATGACTCACCTTTGTGAAAAAATAATCTCCACACTGCCTTCATGGAGAAAAATGAATGGACCCAACCAGCTGATGTCCTTGCAGCAGTTTGTATATGATGTACAGGAACAGCTTAACCCCTTAGCAAGTGAAGATGACCTACGGCATATTGCACAGCAGTTGCATAGCATAGGAGAAGTAAGTGGTTTTATCTAAATTGCATCTCTTTATTAGCAAGGTACTGCTCTGGTAGAATATTGCTTAGTGAGATTTAAGCAAATGTCTGTAGTTTGTTGTTTTTTTCTTTTCCCTGTTAAGACATCGTAAGGAGTAGAGACTGATTAATAAGGTTTTTTGTTATCGTAATTGTCTTGTGGCTCCTATTTCAGTCCACATTATTTCTTTGAGACAGGAAGAATTACAGTTTATTGATATAGTTGTAAGAATATAAAATACCCAGAAAGGGTAAGTATGCTATCATCTTAAGTGAGGTAGTGCCTAATGCGTTCACTGCATATGAGAAATTTATGTGTGTCCATTAGAAATTGAATCATGGGATAACACCTTTGCATAAATAGCTTGCAGGCCATGGTTAGGCTTTACAGCTATTGGACTCTAATGGCTTCTAATGGTTACTAGTGGAAATCAAGAATAATGCATTTTGTTCTGAATACTTGCAAGAAATTAAAATGCACTGTTTGTTTTTCTCCTGTCAGCAATGTTAATTGAATGATTGGGACAGTAAGTTAGGAAGGAGAGAACGTGGGGTATCATCTTGTACTTCACAAGATGTAAATAGTAACTTTCATATTTATAAACAGATTAACATTATGCAGAGTGAAACTGTCCAAGATGTTGTGCTTCTGGATCCTCGCTGGCTCTGTTCAAATGTCCTTGGAAAAATCCTGTCAGTGGAGAACCCAAAAGCTCTCCATCACTATAGAGGTCGGTACACTATAGAGGACATCCAGCGTCTGGTGACAGATAGTGATGTGGAAGAACTGATACAGATTTTGGATGCCATGGATATTTGTGCAAGGGACCTTAGCAGTGGAGCAATGGTGGATATTCCTGCTCTCATAAAGACTGACAATCTCCACAGGTCTTGGACAGATGAGGAAGATGAGGTGCTGATTTATGGTGGTGTTAGAATCGTTCCTGTGGAACATCTTACCCCATTTCCTTGTGGAATTTTTCATAAAGTTCAGGTGAATCTCTGCAGGTGGATTCATCAGCAAAGCACAGAGGTAGATGCTGATATACGTCTGTGGGTAAATGGATCAAAGATTATGAATCGCGGAGCTGAGCTTTTAGTGCTGCTGGTCAACCATGGTCAGGGTATAGAGGTTCAAGTTAGAGGACTGGAAACAGAGAAGATCAAGTGCTGTTTACTTCTGGATTCTGTATGCAGCACCATTGATAACTTAATGGCCACAACCTTACCAGGCCTTCTGACTGGGAAATACTATCTTAGTCCTCAGCAGCTGAGGGAACATCATGAACCAGTAATGGTCTACCAGCCTAGAGACTTTTTCCGTGCACAGAGTCAAAAGGAGACATCACTAACTAACACTATGGGGGGATATAAAGAGAGCTTTAGCAGTATACTGTGTTTTGGGTGTCTTGATGTCTACTCCCAGGGAAGCCTAGGAATGGACATTCATGTTTCCGATCTGAATCTACTTACCAGGAGAAAACTAAGTCGACTTTTGGATCCTCCTGATCCTATGGGCAAAGACTGGTGCCTTCTGGCCATGAACCTGGGCCTCCCTGATCTTGTTGCAAAGTACAATACAAATAATGGAACACAAAATGACTTTCTCTCAAGCCCAGTCCATGCCCTTCTGCAGGAGTGGAGTAATGCTCCTGAGAGCACTGTAGGTATCCTAATGTCTAAGCTGAGGGAATTAGGTCGCAGAGATGCAGCAGACTTTTTACTGAAGGCATCTTCTGTATTCAAAATAAATTTAGATGCTAATGGTCAAGAGGCTTATGCTTCCAGTTGCAACAGTGGCACCTCTTACAACTCAATTAGCTCTGTAGTGTCACGGTAAGAGCAGGTAGGTGTTCTTCATGGACATCTTTTAAAACTGCAGAAAGGATAAAAGATGCAGTAGAAGAGTTTCTGTGCATTTTCATTACGAGGTTTTACATCAAAGGATCTCTATCTTTTCCCTAGCACCACCTTTTTGTGCATAAACTTTCTACTTCTAACTGTGAATTGTTGCTCTTTATCTATTAAAAAGGCTGGTGTACTTCTGGTGTTTTGAAATTATTCCTGATACATAATGTGCTGCTTGATACTGCCATTTTAACTGGAAAGTTTTAACTTTTGGATTATGTACTGCAACTGTTTTCTAAAATATTTCTATTCTCCCCATAAAAGGTAGGGGGAGAGGAATAGCACATATTACCTGAAATGTGTATTTCTTACGCCCATATTTTTTAGTTTTCATTGTGTCTTCTGCTTAACATTTTTTTATATTTGTAAGGAGAGAAATCCACCATTTGTGGTCAACCTGACTGAATTTAAAACCACATTGTTTATAGCTGAAAAAGGAGTGCCTTTTGCAGAAGGGAGGGTGCAGTTGATTTGAATGACCCTGCTGGAGTTACAAGAACATGCTACCTCTGTTTCACTTAAATTGTCTGCATGCTTATCATTGCAAGTGGTGCTTGCCTTTTAATTTTTCCTGCACTTCTAAGACATTGGTGATGACTCACGCAGAGCATTCTTGTGCCAGTACTATGGGTGTAGACATGTGATACCTGATCAACTTCAGTTACAGTCAAATCATAATGTGAAAATCTCTTAAACTTGCCAATTATCATCCTTCATTGTTTCCACACACCTCAGGTAAAAGTTCATACCATTATAGAGTTCAAAAAACACAAGTGTTGGATACTGCAGAATAATGTTGTATAGCTGTCAGTTGTAATTTGTGTATAACAAAGATTTTCTACTATTAGATCCTGCATTACTTACTTCCTGTACTTGAAAACTTTGATGGGGATAAAAACAAAAAGGAAGCAAGGTTTCTTGCAGTGATAACTTTAAAATTGTTATGAGGGAATATGACCCATTCTCTGTTCTAAAAAGCATGTAATTTCAATGGTGCGATGTGTGTCTGTTTATATATATTGTATGTATATATATTAATACTATTTTTTCCTTAATCTTACAATGTAGTAAAATTTTAAAGGATTTTTCTACAAATAAACTGTTGCTTGTTGCATCCTTGTTGTTCACATTCTGTAGCTGAAAGGGACTGAAACTTCTCTTTTCCTTACAGTCACAATCCTGGAGAGGCAATGCCTGACTTCTGAAGTTCTGGGAACCTCCTGTTTCACTTCAGGGGGATTTCTCAGTACACTGGAAGAATATTTATTTATTTGTTTACCGCAGAGGTGGTCCCTCTGCAGCAGAGGGATTTGCATTCGTTTTGACAAATGGCAAGCCAAAGCGGTTTGCTACATAGCTTTTCCTTTGTGTTTTTTTACAATGGAAACCAAAACAGCAGATGCACGTCTGTCATGAGGAATCCTCCAGATTATCCTGTGTTGCAAAGGGGGAGAACACTGCGTTAGAGCCTGTGCTGTGGTAATGGTCCTCTACATTAAGCATCCCCTCACTGCATGAGGGACTGTGCTGCTGCTGCTTGTTTAAACTCTCAGCTTCACTCATGGATAGCTGCAGTCTCTGTGTGGCACTCTATACAGGCAGCTCTGCACAATACCTCCTCCCTGCGTATGCTGCAAAGGAATTAAACGGGCTCTTCTTAACAGGCTGGTTGCTGTTTCCCACTGCCTTTCTTTGCATATTTTACCCTTGCTTCATTAAATCCTTCCCTGGGCATCGCTGGGCTCCTTTGTTAAACATTTTTTAAAAGTCTGGTCCTCAGTGAGAAGTATGGTTAATGAGCAGTCCTACCCTGAGGTGTCTGTGCTCTGATATTCTGCCCCTGACGAACCGAGTCCAGCATCTCCCACCGCTGCTCAAAGTTGCTCAGTGAAGAGCCCAGCTTTCCACAGCCCGTATTTACCTGTATGGCTTCACCTTCAGCTGTGGACATGTTCAGCACTCCTGTCAGACTCTGGTTTGTGAGGGGTCTTTCTCATCTCGTAAGACTCCCTGATTTTCTAGCGAGTTTCTTTCAGCCTGTTCCTCAGGCATCAGACTTAGAGTTACCTTCACTGAGTCTGTGTGACTGCAGAGGAGTGGGACTTGGAATCACCAGTCCCATGAGAGCAGAGACTACTGTGAGATGCTTTTCCAATGGAGGGCTGTCAGTGGTAGTGGTGTCTGTCAGTTTGGGATTTAATTCACCCCTCTACTGCTTGTGGTGGAGTGGCAAGATTTTGAAATACCAGGTAGCTCCTCCCCTGCCTGCCTCCCCAGATGCTTTATGCCCACTCAAGATGCATGGTCAATTTACCAACGTTGATGTCAGTAGTCTTTTTCCTTTTCTTTCCTTTTTCTTCTTTTTTTTTGTTTTTTTTCCCCTCCCAACAGCATGTTCCTGGCAATTCTCTACTTCCATTTACTGTAAAATGCAGCCCTGGGAGTATAAATTACTTAACAGATGCTATGATGGATCTTTGAATGGCAGTCACAGCCTATTGCATCATTTACAGTCTCCATGGTAATAGGTTCAAGAAAGTGAATCACAGTCATAGTATAGCTTTGGATCATTTTCCTATAAGTCATGTGCCACTGACAAAAAAAAAAAAAAAGTTGTCCTAATTGGCACTTTTGACCAAAAAAAGGTTAGCAAAGTGATAGAAGCAGGCATCTCTTCAGTTGCTTCACTTTTATTGATTTTCTGTTTTGTTTTGTGAATGGAACTAGGAGCAGAGCTTCATTCCATAATTTTTAGAACTGTGTTTAAAATGCACTGATCCTGCCTGACTCACTTCAGAAATGGAGGAAATGCAAGTCTTTGCAAGATCAAAAAGGGCTAGCCATAAACATAAATTATGTATCATTTGTGCAAGTAACATGCTAAGCTCAGCTCCTGCTGGTGAAAGAAGTGAAGCTGGATACTAACCATTAGGAGACTCTCTTCTTTGCGCTTCTTTGTAGCTTCAGAGCAGAGCTTCTGAAACACCCTTCTGAGGATAAAGCAGATTAGCCCCAACGTTCATTTTGTCTTCAAAACCCATGATACAGGCAAACTCTCAGGCTTGCAACAGAGTTGCTCAAGGCCAAGATGCATTACAAATGATCTTGCAGTTTAGAAATGCGTGTTACGGACATCTGGACTCAAATTCTGAAGAAAATTTCTGAAGAAGACAGGGAGGAAGCGAGCATTTTGGTACAAACCATTTTTCCAAGTAGAGTCTTTTCTCCCTGGCATGCAGCAGCATGCATAGGACAGGAAAGTGCTTCATATTGCTATTTGTATTAGGCTTTACTGTGCTTACTCTCTGTGGGAGTTTTGTTGCTGACCTGACTGGTGAGTTTGGAAAGCCACAAGAGATCACTGGCTACATGCAACTGATTTTGAGGGTGGGACAAGAAGGGCATCCAGAGGTGACCCTGGGTGGAGGTGGATGTATATGATTCTTCTCACCTTGAGAGGATGTAAACTGGAGACAGCCACAGGTTTCAGGATCCTTGTGATTCAAGTGATTGAGAAAGAGATATGAAACTACAGGGGCTTAGCAACTCCCAAGTGTCAAGAGATTGACAGAGCCAGGAGACTTGGAAAGGAGCCAGAGCTCAGTTTCCTAAATGGTCAGGACTCTAGCAAGAGCAATGGTGAAACTGTTAGAGCTGGCTGTGGTGGAGCCAATTCCAGATCCTAAACCTGTGGTGGCTGCATTGCCCACTCCAAGAAGTTACCTGTTAGTTCATTGCAACCTTTGTATTCCAAAGATGCTGTGTTGCAGCATCATTGTTTAGAACAGGTGACTCTATTTGAATTGCACCACTGTTTCAACTTTGCCAGTGAAATGGAGGCGTAATGCCCAAGTTGTAACTCCAAACAAAGTAAATGAAGCATGCTGTTGGCTGAAACCTCTCTTTAGCTTAGAGGAGATGGAGCAGTGCAGTATATTCTTCGAAGGTGGCCTGAAAGCACTATATACAATACTAAAATTTATTTCTGTTTGACTTTTTGTTCATTAAACTCAGTCCAGCGGGTCACAAAAATCATTGAATGGGACCACAGATTCACTCCCATATCTCTTCAGTCTTTGTCTGACTTGGAAGGCAAGGTGGTGGGAAGAAAATCAGTTTTTAACAATGCCTGAGGTACTTGGGTTTCCAAAAGGGTTACAGCCAAGCCACAGACTTTGCAGGGGTCTCCAAATGTCAGATGAGCTGTATATAGAAGAGGACTGATGGTATTCCTCTGTGTGGCTGCACCATTTATCATAACAAGCTTTACAGGAACAGTGGGGCCAGCAGCTAATGCTGCGTCAAAGCCAGACGAAGATCTAGGTGGACCTGGTTCAGGTTTGTATTAAACAAATTGACCTAGCATTCCTGCACCAACCAGACTACCCTGGGTGAGGTCCAAATCCAAAACTGCATATTTAAAGATCATTTTTCAGAATGCAACCATGTTGCTGAGTCACTTGAATGTACCTTAAAAATCACAGCCCTGCCCTGAGATGGGCAAACCTGGACTGCCTTGCCCAAACTCTGGGTCCTGCTGTCGCCAAGCCTAGGACACCTACACAACTAGAATGCACTCAGATCTCCTAGGCAGAGAGGAAGACTGGGAAGAATCCTGTTAGGGTGATAAGGGGTCTTGAACAGGAGTAAATGCTTAGGCATGCTGCATCTTATTGGCATGGGTTTGCTGGCAAAGAGATGTTGACAGCCTGGGCCCATACTTCCTCCTCCTGCTGAAACATCGTATGACCTGCTGCGATAGTTCAGGTGTTTCTAGTGGCTCTGTGTCCAGGATCAGAAATATGCGCTGTCTTCTACCTGCACAGGACCCAAAGAGTGCAGCTGGGTGAGGCATCTTCCCCCTGGACTCAGGCACTGTCACCACTGAGTGTAACTGACCTCAAGAAGCTTCGGGCCATATGTGTTGGAAGTATAGTCGGGATGCTTCTATTGCATCTCGCAGCTGAGGCTGGGGGGGGGGGGGGTTACCTGGCAAAGGGGGTGAAATTTGCATGAGTGAGTAAGGGCTGGGTGAGGCATTAGCATGTGGTGCACTAGGAGGGGAGGATAAAGCTGTGCTTTTCAAAACTTATCTGGGAAACATGGGAGAGAAGGGGGGGCTCTTGCATTAGGGGGTTAGACTGCTGATGCTGTTAGATCGTGTGTGTATGACACTC